GTAGAAACCAGACCATTAATTGTGGTTTTAAACTCTTTATGGTCAAAACGTATTTACACTATTTACACTTTTCCAGTCATTTTTCCTTAACAAAATAATTATTTTAATAGAAAAAAATTTTTTCTGCATGTTCTGCATGTTCTAATGAGTGATATTGTATCAAATTATGAAACAGGTTTGTGTTGCTTGACTTTGACATGTATCTTCAGCTCAGTTTGCAGTGCAGGCTGCAATAATAATATTAAAATGGTTTGTCTCTTAGAAATGCAAATTTGGCTTGAGTTAAGATGCAGATGTAAATGTATGTTCATTATCAAAATCAGTAACATCTGTAAAGATTCTAACAACTTATTTTTTATATGGTGAAATTTAATTATTCTGACTGAGTTTTATTAAAATTAACCACTGTTCTAGATCATCATAACCACAGTTAAAACCACACATACAGCACCTCAATACCATGGTAAAAATGTAAATATGTATGGTTTCTAGTATGAAAAACAATAGTCTAAATATATTTAGTATAAATGCACAAACACTATACATTACTGACAAATAAAGACTGTAATTATATTCCATTACGCATTTACATTTAAGTCATGTCTACACTAATTATATAATAAAATTTGATATGAATATCCCACATTTCTGCCACAATACCATGGTGCATTTAGCGTTACTACAGTAAATTCATGGTAAATTATGGTGATTTGTGGATTGAAAAGTATTCTGACTGTATCGTTGCACACAGTGTTTCTCCTGTTTGTCAGCGCTGTTTCATCTGGTTTGAATCTAGTTTAAATCAGCGAGTCATTTGTGTTCTTCTTTGAATTGAAGCTTCACTCTGGATCTCACAGCTGTTTAGTGTCACGAGTAACACATCTGCTCTTGTGAGCTCACGCCGCGCTGCTGTTTAAACATTATATCGAACATTTATAAAACTCTTGTTATCGTTTTATCAAGGAAAATTATATCATGATAAATTAATTATCATTTTATCGCCTGGCCCTATGTAGTAGAGTGAGAACAATCATATTCAAATCACCCGTCACAGTGAGAGAAACAGAGCTTGATTGTGATGAGTTTGGTCTTTCATCTCTCTGTCCTCTACACCAGTACTGATCCTGATCAGACTCAGTAGCTCCTCTGATAGTGAGAGTGTCTCTGTTTACAGTGTAACGCTCAGACGGCTGTAACATTACACTGCCTGTGCCTTTATACCACTCATATCTCCAGTTACTGTAAGACTCAATCACACACGTCAGATTGACTGTCTCTCCAGTGAATACAGGACTGTCTGGTGTCACAGTCAGTGTAGATCTGGGTAAATCTGTGAAGAAAGAAGACAGAGCTCTTTCAGTGAACTAGTCAGAAAACATGATCTGATCATCTGAGTTCCTGTGTTTGTGTGACACTGATGTTAAAGAGGAGAGATGTGGAGAGGAGAGTGATGATTAAGTAGGAACTATTTCCACTAGTAAAGGCTAATGACTGGTTAACCTGGTTAACAGAAATTTCCCATTTGTGCAGAAATAAAGAGTCGTTGAGCAGCTACAGAAGTTCAGTGTCCATTTGTCTTTTGCACACAACACAGAGCTGACGAGCCTTCATGTAGGACCGGTTACAAAAGCTCCAGTCGCCATTCATAACTCATTAGAGTCACATTTGGAGCAAAAAAAGAGTGAGATGATGACATAATTTTCATTTTCAGGTGAGATAATATTGAAACTTTGCTGTGGGTGTCAGTTAAAATAAATCTTAATTATAATGTTTAGTACATTATCTCTCTCTCTCAAATTCATATGAGCTTTATTGGAATGACTTGTACAGTATTGCCAAAGCCCTGGCCATCACATGATTATAATATACATACATAATGAATATATAACACAATAAAAATAAATCAGCCATAAAGTAAATAAATGAATACATTTTTATAAACAAGAAATAACAAGAAAATGATTAAGAAGAAGAAAAAACTTTGTACATACATTAAAATTTGATGTAAAATTTAAACTTTAATTTAAAATTAAAATGTGATGTAATTTAATGTGCAGCAAATGTATTTGTAAGTTAAAATATTAGGTTTGAGAACGTGTCATTGCGTTGAATGTGAAATATTAATTAGTTTAGTGCTTAAGAACAGAAGCCTCACAAGGCTCTGCTGAGTTACATTTAAAAGTTGAGATTATTCATGTTCAAAGCCAAAGGACTTTTAAAGTGGACTTTTTCACACAGCTCAGGTTTTCTGCTGGTTTGTAATCTCTTTTCAGTTGTAAATATAGTTCCATCTTTTTTTGTTTTTGTACTTTAGTGGCATCTTTCGAATAGGCAATGTAATTTGCTGTAGTTTTTGTAATTGTATAATGTGTTTGGGCCAGACTGTGCTGTAGTGTGAAAGAGCGCTCATGCAGGTTCTGCTCCTGAGATTACAGGGTTTGAGCTCGGCTCACTGCAATTTAGTGCTTACAGAATTTCAGAGCTCTTTTTGGAAACTGATTAATAAGGGGTATTGTCCTAATATTCATCTCTGCTTGAGTTGGTTGGTGTTGCTCTATTTACTTTTAGGATGCTCTTACAAATTTGGGTATGCAGAGTGTTGATTTCCTCTTTTTCCCCATTTAGAAAAATCTTGGGTTTTTAGGGGTCCCCATATAAAGAGCAATTGGTTTGATTATTGCTTTCAGGATTTTTAGCTTTCAGTTCATTCACAGCCAGTTAGAAGTTTGCTGTTGAACTTATGTTTAGTCCCAGATAAGTGTATTCGTGGGAGTGTTGGAGGACCTGGTTTCCTGCTCTAAAGGTGTATTTGTTTTCCTACACCTGAATCTATGGCGTTGAGTTCACGGGCTAATTAATATAAACATGATTATAAGTTGATCCCTTGTCATTTGAGATGTGACTTAAAGCTTAATGAAGTGTTGGGAATAAGCATGTAAAATTATTTATTTGAAAACAACGGTAATTTTCTGTAAATCTAAGTCAGTTGCGGTTGCTTCGAATTCTCCGCAGCTTTCTCGCCTCCGCTCTGTTGCTATGACTCGTCAGGATTATAGCACGTTCTCAGGTGGACTGTTTGCATGAGACGTTATCTAATCCGAATGACAACAAAAAGCCTACAAATTTTTAATAGCTGCTTGCGCTTTCTTAGAATAAACGGACTAATATGTGAATCCCTTGCGTTCATTCGAGCGCTCAGTCATGTGGCCAGAACACATACACATTCATAGAAATTATACAGCCGTTTTCTATTGTACCACACACAGAACCAAATTGATTTCTCATTTGCAGTTTCTAATAACTAAGTTGCACAGATATATCTATCAGATAAAACACAATATAGCTTGATCTCAGCCAGTTGATCAACACATATCATCATATCGCCATAATTTCTTACCCAGCAAACATGCCCGCGCGGGCCCACTGCGGGTTTTCTGTGGGACAGTCTGGGCAGAGCAAACCCACACTAAACCCACGTGGGGCCCACAGCGGTTTTGCCCTTTTGGGCCCCATGATGGTTTTCTGTGGGCAAGCCCACAGCGGGCTTACCCACACGAAACCCACTCTGGGCCCCCTGTGGGTTAGCCCATGCCGGGCCCATAGCAGTTTGGTCATTTGGGGCCCTATGAGGATTTTCTGTGGGCAAAACCCACCTGGGGCCCCTTGTGTTTTTTTGTTTTTTTAATCTACATGCAAATGTTGCACTAAAATTTGATTTAGCTTTGTGTGGGCCAGCCCACACTCAGCCCACACTTTGGGGTGTCCCACTCGGGCCCCATAGTGCGGGGCCCACACGTGCCCCGCATTTCACGCCGGTATTGGGGCCCACAGCGGGCTGCCCGCGCGGGGAAGATTTTTTTGTCCGCAGTGGGCCCACACGGGCCCCAAAGGGGCATGTTTGCTGGGTAATGTTAAAGCATTGAGGAATAAAATAACATGAGCTACAACCCTCTGTAATGCAGCTCTGAAATGAATTGTATTGTGATACTAAAAAGTTTTACTGTGGGCTACTTAAATAGAACAAATAAACAATTTCTTACCAAGAGTTGCTGAACAATAAATCAAAGGAGTGTTGCTTTATGAGCATGGAGAGCGATCGTAACGAGCTATAGCCTATCACAAATAACATTACTAAAGGCCTGTTCACACCAAGCACGATAACTATAAAGATAACGATAAAGATATAGTTCTAAAAATCGTTCTCAATATTAAAGAATAGCATAGTTCACACCGCAACTATAACGATAACGATACAGAGGAACGATATCGTTGTGATCACTTTCAAAACGATTTTTTTTCCAGCTGATGAACGATAAAACACTGACAGCCAATCAGAATCAATCCTGCTATAACGAGCTCAAGAATTTAAAGCGGCAGACGCATGTGCGCTTAGAATAAACAGACGATATCGTTCGCTGGTGTGGACGCTAATATCGTTATCTTTATAGTTATCTTTATAGTTATTGCTCTTGGTGTGAACGGGGCTTTACAGTCCTGCAGTGTGAAATGGGTTTTGACTGGAAATGACGGCGACAACCTACAGCCAATGAGAGAGCACTATACAGGGCAAGATCAGTGGAGTCGTAGATCTGCAACAAAACACCAGCACGCATGGCTTCTGCACGCAAGTATCTTTCCTTCATATTCTACATTCTTCTTCTTCTTCTTCTTGTTCACTGCAAATCAGTGTACAGATAACTTGGATTGCAAGATTTTTTGCAGGCTACCATTTTTGACAGAAATAAATCCATTCTCGCGCAAGATCTTATGTTATTTCCATTGCCAATTCTCACGTGTGTTTGGTTGTAAAACGTAATTTGTAGACCAGACGAAGTTGTATAATGTGTGATCCCCTGTGGCCGATCCGTTGTGACGTTTGCAAACAACCTCAACTAGATCAGGGGTTCTCAACTCTGGCCATCAAGGTCCACTTTCCTACAGAGTTTAGCTCCAACCTTGATCAAACTTGCCTGCCAGGAACTTTCCAGTAATCCTAAAGATCTTGATTAGCTTGAAACTCTGCAGGAAAGTGGACATCGAGGGCCACAGCTGAGAACCCCTGAACTAGATCCCCAGACAGTCGTGCAGTGTGAGAAGAGCAGCGATCCGATGACTTTGAAAATTGGGCAGTGTGTGCCTGGCATTAGCACCACAACTATAGTGTGTTGACACGCAGTTGACTCTAATTTGATTCTGTTTGGTGGAACAAATATAGACAAAGTATCTTGCAATATTTTGTCTAAAAGGCAAAAGGCAAAAGGCAAAAATACTCAGTATTAATTTATTGTATGAAATGCTTGCGTCATATTTGACAACTTTTGACAACTGTTCATAGTTTCGCTAAAAACATTGATTCATAACAAATAGGGCACTCTATAGAAATCACGCGTCACAGTTATGTCACAGTAAACTTATACTACAAAAGAGGCTATAAATCATCAAAAACAAATATAAACACAAAAGCAAAGCCACCAACAAAAACATGACACAACACTGAATGTTTAAGCCAGCCTTGTTCAACCTTCTTGAACCCATACACAAGTAGAAAACTCGCACTTACCAGTGATTGTTTGGAATAGACCCATTTGGAAATAAATAAATAAATAAATTCCAAGAACACTGTGACGAAGAAAACAATGCGCTGTTCACATTCGCTTGAAGGCCTCAGACTCCACCCATCTGGTACAAATGAAACAATTTGATTGGCAGATGAATCAGACGATCGAAAATTCGATTATAATAATTTGTATTCACTCAGGATTTTTGCATGTAACCGTCAAAAAAAAAAA